ACTTGTGCTATACTTAAATTAAAACAATAGTGTATATCTAACAATAAGCTCCTCTTTAAGGAAAATATTTACAATATTTTTTTATCTTATACACAAGATTGTTTTCAATTCATACACAAAATCTACTCATACAGTTTGCACCAACATTTGCAGTCTTCTTGACGGTTTCAATGTGGAACCTGTAGTTCTGAAGGTACAACGCCAACCTCATGATTCTTGCACTGTCAATTTTGCACCTATGGGTGTATGTAAGTTGCTGATGGTCTGTCTTAATGATGAACTCTTTTCTGTAGAGATAATTATGGAATTTTCAGATGGCAAGTATTATTGCTAGACACTCCCATTCAATCCCAGAATTGTTCTTTTCGCTTTTCAATAGTTTTTTACTGATGTACATTACGGGAAACAGTCCGTCTTCATGTTTTTGCAAAAGTGCTGCTCCAATTCCATGTCTGATGCATCTGTCTCAACGATGAACGGTCTGTTAAAGTCTGGCAAACTTCCTAACATGTTCTTCAACTTCTAGAATGCCATATGCTGTGGTTTTCTCACTTCACCTTGTTGGGTTCACCTTTCATGGTCAGTGGCGCCATGAATTCAGCATAGTTTGGAATAAACTTTTTATAGTATCCCACTAACCCCAGGAAGAATCTGACTTGCTGCTTGGTCGTTGAAGCTGGTGCTCCTCTTTTTCCATGGCAATGTACCTGGTGTCCAACAAAGTCTAGCACAGAATAGCCAATGTACCACTTAAATGATCTGATTGTTATACCTGCTGCTCTCACTCGCTTGAACAGTTCTCTGAAATTCTTCAGGTGGTTTTCCCATTTGTTAGTGTGGGTCAGAATGTCGTCCAAATAATGCTCGATGTTGATGGTTTTATGCAACATCTTCTTCATCATGTGATTAATGTCGCTGCTGATTTGATTATTCCGAATGGCATCCTCTTGAACTGGTAGCATCCATCTGGTGTCACAAAGTCTGTCTTTTCTTCAGATCCTGTCTCCATCTGGATCTGCCAATAACGTTTTCTGAGGTCGATCTTAGGAAAGAACTCAAGTGATGAAGTTGGCTCATGAGTCAATTGTGGGAGGACATCTAGGAGCAAAGAAGATAACTGACAGAATTACCAACAACTTCCGTTGGCTGAGGGTCATCTGAGATGTGACCAGATTCTGCAGGTCATGTGACATTTGCCAAAGGACAAAACCTAGAGGAAAGATAGTCACGGTCCCACTGGGTGAGATTCCTCTCATGGAATACGAATATGTTTCATGAGCAGTATACTTTGTCGTTGCCACTTGTTCAATTGTCTTCTTGAGCTGATTGGCGTCGTTTTTTTTGACACTAGACCTCAGCAAAGATATGAACCTAAAGTAATGAAGAAAGTTTGAAATAAATAGTTTTGTAGAAAAGGATAAACCACATGTAAATCACATTTAGTGAAATTTGTAACTAATCATGAAGTCAGTTTGTGACTTACAGTAATAAATACAGACAGTTTTTTAACTTAAGTTAATAACAGGATTTATAAAATATTTAAAAGAAAATGAAATTCATTTTGCAAGTTTTGTTAATATTGATTAGAGCGTTCAAGATATTTCTTATACTTCATTGTCAGGGCAAATATTTAAATCTCAATAGGAATTAATTATGTAAACAAAATACAGAGAAAAAAATCACATCTATAAGTAAAATCTATGTTCTTCGACATATTTCTACGAAGATCTCAATGTTCTTGTACCGATGGACACGATCTCTTCCTTGGAAGATAATTGGCGATCCAAAACTGTCGATTTTGTACTATAATAACACCTTTTTTCTCCACACCAGCTTACATAACTCAAAATTTATTTTCTGTATCAACTCTTAGTCTTCTCCATGGTCAATGAAGACAAAAACCTGCCATCAGGAAAACTGAAACAGAAAATTTAATAAATTAAAAATGTATAGTGTAAGAGCACGAAACATAGCCTAAAGTAAAGTAAAATTGCATATCGATAACTGGTTGTGTTGAAAAATCTCACTGTGTTAAAAATCAATGTTCCCTTTTCGTCACCTGCTTCAGAATTTTTAAAGCGTATGATTTATGAAAATATATTTTACAAAATAATTAAAAATGATAATATGAATGTATAGTTAAGGTAACTAATAAATATCTTAATTTATTTTTAATAAAAATAATGTACCTTACTGGACAGTACACTTAAACTAATACTTTACCGGTTATTATTTCGAGGTTGCAATTCCGAAGTTAAAATGAAAGTATCTGGACTTTGGCGTTATGCATCGTTTGAAAGTCTTCTGTAATCAGTCATACATGCATTGACAGATTGACCAAAAGAGACATCGTTTGATCCTGCATGCACTACTATAACCTCAAAATGTAGCTTTGTGCTTAACTTCAAACAAACTTAATACTAAGTAACCAGCTAACTGTACTTTGCCTAGTTCTTAACCCAATTTCGTAATACAGGCATCCTTTGCTTACGCCATTTCTTTATGTATGTATACCACACCCAGAGACCTAAATTTTTTAAGTTTCCCTCTTAAACATTATAAAAATACTGAGGCACTTATAAAATTCCCTCAAAGACATCTAATTGCGTCAATAGCTTCCACCCCACTTTTGTTCTTGCTTTAAATGGGTGGAGGAGAAAGATATAGTGGTTAAGGACTTAAAACATTTCTTATCCAGAAGAACGGAAGCTGTTGCTCCCTGTTTCATCTTACACGTATGCTGCTGCACTCTGTTCTATTGCCACAGTGTGTGTGTGCAGACAGATCTTTCCTTTCCTTCTACAGAGTCTTTTTCTCATCATGTCAAGATTCTTCTTCCCTCTGTGGATACACGAGTTGACAAATCCAAAGCTACTCCTTTCTCTGTTTCCAACACAGTATCCAGAGAATACTCGGACCCCTCTCCATCAGTCCTGATGTGCAGGACCATTATTTGGTCATTCACTCAATCACTGGAATTTGATTCATCTGACAGAGACCTGCCAAATCAACCCAGGGCAGTCCCCACGGAGGTCAATATACCTCTTTCTAATAAATATAAACATTATGGTTGAAGGGGAAAACAAAAAGCTATCCACCCAGTTCTCCTACTATTAAATAAAAATGGCCACTTTGTTACAGCGGAACTGTTGAGGTTTCTATTCTAATTTAGATTACATTAAGGCTTTGATTGATTCCTCTCATCCTGTGTGTCTCTCTTTACAGGAAACATTTTTCATACCTGTTTATGCTGTCACCTTTTTGCAATTTTGCTTGTACCAGAACGATAGATATTATGATGGATTGGTTCCTAGAAGTGTGGCACTGCTAGTTGACAAGCATACACCCACCATGTCTGTGCCACTCAATACACCACTGGAGGCTATTTCATCCATGTTTCCATGGGTCGTACCATCACTATATTTTTATGTACCTGTTACCAAAATAACATTATGATCAAACATACCTTGATGATCTTATTGAACAATTGGCGTCCCCTTTCTTTATCTTGGGAGACTTTAATGGACACCATCCCCTATGTGCTGGTGTCAATATTGATGGGAGGGCTCATTCTCTGGAGTGTATGTTTTGGATCACTACCTTTCTTTCTTTGACAGTGGATCATGTACCTATTTTAACACACGAAGTTAGTCTTTTTTACTGCTATTGATCTGTTTGTTTGTTCCCCCTTCCCTTATTCCTTGTTTTTCCTGGAGTGTGGACAATGACCCACGGTGGAAGCTGGAGCAGACTGCTGGCTGTCTTTCACCACTCTTTTGAAACTCAATCCTGTTGTTGTTAGTCTTCCTACTCTTAACGACTGCTTGGAGGCAGTAACTGGTTGTATTGTCAAAGCAGCTGTTTGTTCGATCCCAAAACCTCAACACATTTACCACTGTATCCTCAACCATAGTGGAACCCTGACTGCCAATGGAAATGGAGGCCTCAGAAATGGGCCTGGGATATCTTCCGCAGATATCCCACTCGTCACAACCACATGGCTTTTTAGCAGGCTCGAATACTAGAAGGAGTCTTGGATTAAGTTCACTTCCAAGATATTTTCATCCATCAGTTACAAGGTCGTTTGGGGCAGGATTCGAAAGATCACTGGGAAGTATGGAAAACATATAAGGAACAGATACACACATATTTGACGTATATATATATATATATAATT